AAAAAGTGATGACCGGAGGGGGAGGGGGTAGCTTCGCAAAGGTTCGCCTCAGGGATGAGCCATATTTTCGAAAAAGTGCTATACAAAAAAAAACGAAATAATTTATAAATATGATCACGTGATCAATAGACTTACCCCCCACCTCATCACGTGATTTCCGAACGGCCCCTTACACCTCTAATTACCACCCATTTCCTTTTATCAATGAGCAAGAAAAATCTGATGAACACCAACAGATTTTTCGTCGAATCAGTGTTTTTATTATCACATAGTTGAGAAAATGATATTCCTATGCACATTACGCAGTATTTATTATTGCTGACTACTTTGACAAAGATGTTAGCAAAACAATCATATAAAACATTCAATTTATATGTATGTCAATGAAAGTTTCAAAGAACCAAGAATAGTATTTGTTTTATTATGAAGAATATTTTCTTGAAGATTAATGGCGAGAGCATGCCTCTTGAACATTTGTTTTATTGACAATATTACAAGACATCAGAAGTTCTTTACAAACTCATCAAAACTTCAAGTGAACATCGATATTTTCGTCGCATTTGAGATTTGTAGCTTTATCAATCGATCAAAAAGATTTCTTCTTTTCTAACCTCAATCAGTATTTAGACAAAATTTATATCATTTATCACCATGACTATTTATGAGTACGAAGAAACAATATTTAATGTTATGTATTAACTGCTGTTTACTAATATGTAGCTGGAAATAATCACTAAAGAAGAAAAATGCTTTGGTGTTTCATAGAGAATTTTTATTTCTTCAACATATAGCTAGAGTAAATTTTTATTTGCTTCTTTATAACATCTTCTGCTGCTACAATTGTCACTTTTCACGTTCTATTACATGTTTTCTCAAAGTTAAATTTACTTAAAGAAAGGCCATTTTAAACTATTGTTGTTAAACTAATGCAAACAACTTGTTGCATCATATTCTTTGAAGAAATTCGAACGACTTAAATATAGAACAGTATAATCATGCTCGAATACAACTTATGAAACTATTTTCAAAAACTTTTCTAATACAGTTACTATGACCATCACTTGAATAATGCAATTAACTAATTACATTCACCGAAGACATTACCATTTTCGAAAATTGTCTGTTATTTCAACATATAAAGGTATGGGTATAGGAGTGTAAGTCTTGTCATCATTCTGTTTAGCATTTCAAACTGCATTGTCTTGATCAATTGAAACTGTTGTTACTACAAGCCATAATAAACATAAGTTTTCTATGGAGATAATATAATTATCACGTAGTTGATATTTTACATGTTCACAATAGATTCTATTCTCTTTTTTTGTTCGTATTTAAGATATATTTTGAGTGAAAGAATATTCCATTTATCGTTTTCGATGCTTTTTAACTAAACCAACGAATTGTTGACTCTCTATTGTTTTTGTCACAGTTTTTCAAAAGCTGGATAACTGATGGCAATCATGAAGCTGCTTCAGAAGTGATCGATGATTTGATTAGGGCGTGGATAAGATGAATATTTACAACCAGACTAACAGACTCATACCGACAATATACGTAAGAAACTCTAACGAGGTTTATGCTTATTCTGTTACAATGAACGGTATTTTTTAACAATAACAACCGGTTCTAATCATCGATTGCAGATTATTAGTATCTCTCTTTGAAGTTTTGGTTTATTATTTTTTTTTCTTCAATTACAATAAGAGTGTCAAATAAAAACTAAAGCATCCAAAACTGTTGTGAAATTGCAAAACATCTATTTTGTCTCTGCTGGCAACTCGATGACCCAAGTTTCATAAGCACGAAAATGGAGCCAATTTGATTTATTATTCGCTTGATTATCATCATAATTACTTATTAATAATCGACCATTTTTCTTCAATCGCTCATTCAATGAACTATCGTCGATTGTCACGATTTGATAAGTAAAATTGCAGGCAACAATAATTTCATGAGTACTTTCATCGAAACGTTTATACATGAAGATATGCATGTGATCTTCATAAAGAACATCATAATTTCCACGAACCATAATTGGCATTTCTTTTCGTAATTGAATCAATTTTTGATAGTAATAAAAAATAGAATTTGAATCATTTAAAGCATCTTCAACATTAATATCCATATAGTTCGGATTAACGCCAATCCAAGGCTTGATATCAACAACACTGTTAGTAAAACCACCATGAACCAATGAACTTGACCATTGCATTGGCGTACGAGCATTATCACGCGATTTTGTATAGATTACTGTCATGATTTTTTCCAATGATAGACCAGATTCTATAGCATCTCGATGAAAATTTGTTGTTTCAATGTCACGATATTCAGCCAATGATGAAAATCGAACATTAGTCATGCCTTAATAAAGAGAAAAAGAACAAACGAAGAATATTAATGGACTAATCAAACGTCACTCTAAATAGATCTCATTGATAATTCTACATGTGTTCTATTATTACCGTCTATGCTTTCATTCGTTCGATAAAAGTACCCGGCATCTCGACTGAATTTTGTTTGAAAAAGAAAAAAAAACAAAAATGAGTGATCATAGTCTTATCGCGTATTTCTATTATTTCCTTGTTCTCGTTTAATCTCGATAAAAGTACTTCAAATATTTCTCTGTTATTAAGTGTCACCGGTTCTTTCTCTCTACATCAATTCGAAAAAGGTGTTCCTTTCTGTTCAGGAGTCATTTTTCGTTGCCTGACTTACCGATCTCTTCGCCTTGATAAACATAAGGTGTTCCACAAAGAAAATGCAAACAAGTGCCGAGCATCTTTGCAGAAAGAACTCGATATTGACTGGAATCATTGCCCCATCGTGAAACAATACGTGGTTGATCATGATTATTCCAATAGAGACTATTCCAACCTTTACCAAAAAGACCTTTTTGCCATGTTGTAAAATGATGTTTTAATTCGCGTAAATCGAGTAATTTCGGTGTCCATTTACCGTCACGATTTCCAGGATCAACAAGTGATGTAAAAGTTTGATGTCTACCTCCATCAAGATCCATATGTTCGAATGTAAAAATCATATCGAGTTCTTTTCGAGATGGATTCGTTATCAATTCGGCTTCGTGTAATTGAGCTCCTATGGTATAAGAAATTTTATTTTAATTTGTCTTCAATGTTTTGTTTTTATTCTTACCAGGGCATTCGCCAACCGTCACAATATTGTAATGACGCAAGACTTGTTCATGCATTTCTTGTAAATATTCATGTAAATGCGGTCCATTGATGTAGTACGATGTTCCATCAGAATATTGCTTGCCATCATCGTAATAACCTTCGGGATAGCCGGGTGCTTTAGAGATAAAATTAATAACATCCATACGAAATCCATCTACACCTGAAAGACGAATATAAATAAACGAATTCAATAAGAAAAATAAAATATCCTTTAACAAAAAAATGACCTTTATTCAACCACCAACGTATAATTTTATAGACTTCTTGACGAACAGCCGGATTTTCCCAATTTAAATCGGGTTGTTTCGATGTAAATGTATGAAGATAATATTCACCAGTAATGATATCATAAGTCTAGACTAAAGAGTAGAATCGATTTTACAAAAACATCTTTTTTTTTTACCCAAGTTGGACCACCAAAGGCAGCTCCCCATCGATTTGGTGCTTTGCCATCTTTACCCGATGCCCAATGATAAAAATCTCGATAGGGATTATCTTTTCCCTTTTTCGATTCGATAAACCATGGATGTTCATCACTGGTATGATTAACAACAAGATCCATGATTAATTTCAATTGACGTTGTTTCATTTCTTCTAACATTCGATCGAAATCTTCCATTGTTCCGAATTCAGTCATTATTTGACAATAATCACGAATATCATAGCCATTATCATAATTCGGTGAATCGTAAACCGGACTAAATGTGAAAGAGATCGACCAATAAAATTTAAAAAAAAAAAAGTAAAATTTCACTCGAACCTAAGCCAAAGAATATCCACGCCTAACTTTTTCAGATAATCCAATTTCATAGTGATTCCATTGAGATCACCGATACCATCACCGTTCGAATCGAAAAATGAACGTGGATAAATTTGATAGACAACCGAGTGATGCCACCAGTCTTTACTCGATGCAAAATTGTTTGTGCCCATGGGTTTGCCTTGAAATATATAAAGAACAACAAGACAATGTGCCGAGAGGCCTCTCGTTGACGTTTTTTTTCTTCTTATCAACCGATTCAATTACTGATAAGCATTTCTTGTTTCGAAAAGAGCATGTGAAATACGAATCTGAAGAACAGGAATTATGTGAACAAACTAGAATATGAGAAAGGATGGTTTCTAGTTTGACGTGTGCATTTGACTTTGGATAGTAGATATGGGATGTATGTGGGTGAGGATGGGAGTGTGAGACAGTGTTTGACCTGCACTCACACCAACATTCTCATCTCCAGCTCTTTGATCATGAAAAGTGAAATCTTTCGACATATCTAAAGATATATAGATTGATGAAAAAATTGTCGTTGTCATTACCACAGACCAAAACGTTTTGAAACATTGATCATTCGATTTCGATTTAATTCGACTAATGTTGTGCTCAGTTCCATTCGATTCAATTTGATCTTGTAGAACATGTCAAATGTCTGCATCTTCATCAATGTACATCAGTTCTTCTCGTGCTATGCTTCTATTTATTTACAATTTTCGATTTATAGTCGAGTGATTCCAGTGAATATTACAGTTCTCCTCTAACACAAGAATAAGAGTTTTACTTAGTTTTCGAATATCTTTTCATTACTCTGGTCTTCCGGTTAGAGTGTCAACTTTTCAAATACGTATTTGTTCATTTTAGCGTTACCCAACTAATCTTTTTATTGATGTCATGAAAAGAATATTTTATTGAATAGTTGAGAAAGGAATCAAACAAAATTAAGTTGGATTTTTTTTTCAATTTTCGATTCAAGACGGATGTATCCATTTTTTCATGAATCATCATAAGAAGATTATCTAAAATCACTTCATTTAAGTATTTTAATCTTAGTTAATTATTTAGAATACTTTTTATAGTAGACGAGAAAAGAAAATAGCTCATCGAAAGGCATTACTTTTTTCATTACTCCCAAATTTTTTCATCACGAACCTCAAACTTTGATTAGTTGAAATTTTTATATTAATCATTTTTACATAGTCATCACTGGCAACCATATACATTTTTGTCTCAATTTGCTATTAACGAGCCAAAATCGTTTTGCTTATGTGGAAGACGATATTTATGTTCCATCGGAAGCTTTTTTCCAAAACAGTTCTGATTAACAACTAGCGCAAAAAAAATGATTCTCGCTGTTATGTTTCTAATTAGTGTCGGAGTTTGGATTAGAATGAATAAGAAAGCCATACCAATAGAGTCACATCTTTTCGTTGATTTCTACAAAAGTTAGAAGATCTGAATGTGTGAGTTATACATATATTATATACATATAAATACATTTTGAATACCAAAAAATCTAGAATACATTTGGAATTAATATATTCTTATTTGAATTTTGATTCGGATGTGATTCTTAGGTTTAGATTTGGATTTAAGTTATGAATTTGCTTTTAGACTAAATACACATAAATAATTTGTAATTTGATAACTATTATCGAGTCTCAAAACTAAATATATTATTTTTTATCTAAGAGCAAATCCAAGCTCAAATAAAAATCTTAGAATATTAAATACAAAATGTTTAGGATTTTGTACCTTTAACAACATCTTTATTTTTCAAAAATAAGTCTTTCTTCATAAGCTAACAAATATTCTGTTACTCTTTACTTGGTAAGTATGGATATTATCGTTACTGGTTACTTAGTAGCTTAACGGTAACTTTCTTCTTCTGTGACAAAGAAAAAAGTTAGGTAAATCAAAAAAAAACTGTGTATGTCTTCTCGGAACATAATCGAAATGTATTTTTAGTTCTGAATGCACTTCTCAAAGTACGTCAAAAACACTGAAAACATGACTATAGATAAATTAATTATTTTTCGCAGATAAATTCTATTGAAATAAATTGAATGTCAAATGCAAACTCAGACACATTTTTTTTATCAGCACTTTGATCTTGCAAGGTAAAAGATTCTAAGCACTACAATTTCTCCCTGTAACCAAGCAAATTTTGACATATTTGTTAGTATTTTTTTCTATCGTACATTACAATGATCGTCTCGAAATCCATCATTAGCAAATTAAAGGTCAAGAGAGATAAAAACTGTATATGCATGTATTCATGTTTCTTTTGTTTATCTGAGTTTCGTTAAAAAACTGGCTATTGTATATATTTTCTTTGAATAGACTTTTATGTCAGTTGTACCCACAGCATGAATTAAATGATTTAGTCATTAAACTGAATTTCTTCAATGGTTGGAATGATCTTTATGTACTCGAATAATCAGCAGAAATTTTTTTCTGATTAATTCAGATGTTCAAATTATTCTGTACAAAGTTAATATCTTATTGAATCTAATAATCATATATATAGATAAGAGAATATGTAAGATCTTATTTATACGAACTTAAAATACGTTTTAATCCATAAAGTTCAATGATTTTTCCTTGATTATCTTTCATAAAAACTGAATCTTGACCTTGAAAAATCTGAAATAAAGCTACAGATACACGACTTTGGTTAATTCATGGCTCAAGCACCTACTTCAAACTAACATCAAATGTGTAAAAGTACGACTTCACTTTTTCCGATAATTTCTGTTGAAAATGGAACGTTTCAAGTAGAGAAGGAAATTTTGCAGTTGATCATCTAACTAAAAAACAACATAAACTGTAATACGAATTCCGATAAAAAAGATTGAATGCAGTGCTAACCTGACAAACGTCTATATTATTATAAAAAAGAGAAGTTCTCACTCTTATCTATATGCTTAGTTGTTGCATATGAAGCTGTCATTTTTTTAATGGTAATGTAATGCGCACAAGTTTCTATACATAGATTTTTAAGATGACAGAACCAGATATGCTTAAAACATTCTGTGTATTTCTTTCGTTCTATTCTGTAATTTCGAACAGCTAATCACCTATCTTGGCATTTTATTTCTTTCTAGTTTTTGAATACGCACAAATTTAGAAATCGACTGAATTACAATTTTGCATGTGACATAAATGGAGTATAGAAATTCATCAAGAAGTAAAATGAACATTTTTGGTGATACCATATTTTAACAACTGTATCAGGTATAATGGAAATGTTTCGTTCATATTGTAACTCATATCATCTACTATACATATATATATATATCTACAAAGCTTCAGATCAAATCATCCTTTTCTTTTCCACGGCTATTGGCTAAATAATCAAAGGATGTAATTTTCGACTATTCTAAAACTGATAAAAAATGTATTTTAAAAATTATCTATGTAATAACTTTGACTTTGGGATATCTTTATAGCATATCGTTCGAAAGAGCAAATTTTTCTCTACACGTTGAGCTAAATTTCATCAAAGCATCTGTTTTAAAAGAGGTCGATCAGGAGTACTTTTTGCAGCATATCAGTAGTATACTGAGAAAACTTGATAAATTGATATATATTTTTTTCAGTGTTTAATTGAGTTTTGATTTCTGAGATATCACATCTGAACGAGCGTAAAATAACTCTATCCCAAAACCGTATTTTATTAACTATTGCTATCTTAGGAAGTGAAAGTAGTAAGTTTTCATAGACATATCAACTGTACTAATTTTTTATAAGGACAGATTATGTTTCAAATTAAGAGTAAATCTGTTATCATGAGCATAGAATGATTATTTAAGTGGCAAGCTCAGAGAATAAAAGTACGTCATATCAACCGACACGAACTAGCCTTGCATTGTCAAAAACAAACATGAAATCTCTTAGCATGATGTCTCATGCAAATTATCATGAAATTTTATGCAAAACTTTATGTGACTATAAGTCCAATAATTATTTCTTGCAAAAGTTTGGTTCTAGTTTCTTTCTACTGATGTTACCGAACTTGTCACTTGAACAATCATGTCATACTCATGATAACGGATTTACTCTTGATTTGAAATCTAACCTATTTGTAGAAAATAGAATTCTCTACAAACACGCAAATTTTCAGACATTACCTGACCTATATCAATAAGAGAATACAATGATTATTATGTAAAATTAGTACAACTTATATGTTTATGAAAACTTACTACTTTCACTTCTGACAATAATAATAGATAATCAAACATCAGTAAAACACTGAAAATAGTATATGTTAATTTATCAAGCTTTACCAGTATCCTACCGGTATGCTCCAAAAACTACTTCTGATTGACCTCTTTTGAAACAGATGCTTTGATGAAATTGAGTTCTGTGTGTAGAAGAAAATCTATTCTTTCCAATGGTATGCTATAAAGATATTTTAAAGTCAAATTCATGACGTAGATAATCTTAAAAATACATTGTTTATCAATTTTAGAATAGTCACAAATCGTATCTTCAGATTGTTTGGTTAATAACTATAGAACAAAACCTGAAGCTTTTTATGTGTATATATACTAGATAATTTGAGTTAAAATATGGACAATACAGTAACATTATAACTGATACGATTGTCGAAATATGAACTCAGTAGAAAATTTCATTCTGCTTGTGGATAAATTTTGGTACTCACTGTATATTACATGAACTCTAGTTTCACGTATGTTTTTTTTTCTTTTTCTCTTATAGAAGTCATGAAACTCCAGAATAATGCAACTATGGCAGATTTTCAACTATGGTTTATTCCGATTGATATTTTAAATATGATATGTTCTACCTTTTCTATTATACTTGCTCTAATCTTTTTATTTGTTATTATTTTGGATAAATTATATCATAAAATTCCAATGTTACTCGTTGGAAATTCATGTGTAGCTGAATTTCTATTGGGACTTTATTTGTTTGGTATAACCATATTTACATTTCATCATGATCTTAAACTAATTTACTTCTATGATTCATTTTGTTTTTTACTGAGCTATGTAGGTTATATATCGATTGGAGTACAAAATTATTCTTATTTATTACAAGCTATCTATCGATATATTTTAATTGTTTATCCATCTCGATTATTTTATCGCTCAGTTCAATTTCAAACATTTCTGATTAGCCTAACATGGATTTGTTGTATTATCTATCCTATTCCATTAGTATTTACTGGTCAAATAAAGTATCTTGTTGATGATCAAATATGTCAAATGCCTATTGAACTTTCGTTTTTAACGATATTCAATGCATTTTATATTTATCTATTTCCAATGTTAAGTATAATATTAATATATTTAAAAATGGTTCGATATGTACATGAGATGAGTAAACATGTAACACCAGTTAATCGATTACTTCATGCTCAACGAGAATTACGAATGATCCGACGTATAAATTCACTTGTATTCATTTTAATTGCACTTGGTATCCCTTACACAATCTTTATTATTATGTCATTTTTCAATAACGTACCAAAATATCATTTTCGTATTGCTTTTGCATTTATCAATGTATCATTGGTATTTGTATTGATTGCTCTTTTCGAAATTACAGAAACATTGAGAACTTCTTTAATGAAAAGAATAAATGGTCGACCAATCAACGTTATACAAACAGTATCATAAATAGTTAACATCAATCATAATCTTCTAAAAATATTTCTAAAAACTTGTTTTCATGTTGTGTTTTTGTTGTTTGAACTTAAATAAAAAGAAAATATGAAATTTTGTAACAATTTGAACTACGACTCTTGTTTTTTTTTCTTCTTTGAAACAATTAGTCAGATCAAAACATGAAAGATAAATGATAGGGTCAAGATATGAATAGATTTGTATTGTTCGAATTAACATTATGATATTAAGAAGAAAAGCAATTGAACTTACGATAAATCTTTTTCTATGTCTATCTGTAAAGATGATTAATAAAATGAACATTTAATTAGTTAATTTAGAACTTCTCAAAGAATTGTAAAAGAGACAGATGAATATCCCAAATGAGAGATTTTTCTCACATGTTTTTTTTTTCTTAAACTCGGGATTCGATATGATCAATATCAAAGGAATATCATGTAATATGAATGAAATTTTATTCTAGATGATTAAAAAAACAAACATTAGAATAATGTGACATAACTATCATTCACTTAACAGTGGGCCTGTAGTATAGGATACAAAGGAAATAACATATTGTTATGTGTTCGCCAGAAACATCCCACAAAGTTTCTTTTCTTAAGAAAATGTGTAAATCTTCGCCTGTGTGTATATATATACAAGCATCGTTTTTTATTCTTTTCATCAGATACTTTTGAAATTTATTAACAGAACTAAATAAAATTGTTCCAATTATCTAATAAGTACATCTTTAGTTAAAAAATACCATAGTTTTTGTTTAAAACTAACAGAATAAAATTACAGATGAATTTTAACCTTAATAATGAACTACTTAAATAACTTATAATCATATTTGCGAAATTCTACGTCGAAGTTTGAAGTCTTTCTACATAATCTCCTAAATTTAAGATTTCAGCACAATATTTCAAGACAATAAGAACGAAACATGTTTCGTGTTGGAACAAATACCACTCTCTATCCGTTCACTTTGTTTGTGCAGGCTCATACACATACACCGTTCTGTTTTTCTCATGTGCTTTCAAAAAACAATGAAGAAACTTTTTATTGACTATTTATATGAATTTCAACTCAATATGTATTATGTTCGATCGGCAATCTATACTCACGTTGAGGCAAACACGTATTTCTGTGTCGTAGAGGTGTATGAATGAAGACTATCAATATACACGAAGTAAATGAGACTTTTGAGTACGGATAATTATTGAATCCTTGAATCAAACTAGTCGATAGTTCTCGAAGTTGCATAACGCTATTTTTTTTTGTATTGCGCGATACTCTGTATTCGATGTTTCTTATGAATACAAGACCTCTTCCTTTGAATTAAATGCTACTTGATGATCAATCGTCATTCATTTTTTTTCTATGTATCTATGAACAGTGTGATGTGCTTATATAATGTGACTTACCAACAAAGTTTGTCTAAATCCGCCTGGTATAAAAATTGATTTTCGGCTTTGATCTTTCTTTCGTCTTGTTAGTTATTTAAGTCTATAGCGAAATTCTAATAAATACTGAGCACTAAACCAATGACATTGTCATCATGATTTTATATGACCTCCTCTAACTTTCGGTTATTGTTTTTTATTCTAAGATGAATTATGAAAAATAGCCCTGATGGAGTGGATGTGTATATTCTCCGCAATACCGCCCACATTATAGATACACTCACGGTTACGTTCATATCTATTTCAGTACCTATACCATATTCAAAATGCCGTGTGTGCATAGTAAAGAAAAAAGAATATAAGACGTCCGCGAAAAAAAATGGCTTGAATGACATTAATTCACACGGCGTTGCCAGTAATGTCAAACTTGCAAGTTGATATTCAATTGAGTCGAGAAGTTTCAGCTTTCAAGTTTTAATCATCTATAAGTAATATATCAAAGCCTTCTTCATATCCTTAAAAATTAAAGAAACATTACACATCTTTAGATCACGTTTTCTTTTTACTCGAGCATGATCAAATTGATTGTAATTCAAACTGCAGTCTGAAACCTGTGAACAGCCTTTCGCTGCAGCTTCATTGAGACAGATGATGAATATGTGTGTCTTCATGACACCAACATCAAGAGAGATGTGTGTGTGTGTTTGAAACTTGAAACTTGGATTGGATTCAACTTTCAATTTTGACATATATGATTTCAAGCAAAGAAAAGAATCAAAGAACATTTTTGAATTTATACTGCATTCAGAATGATCTTTTTTTTGAATATTTTTCATCGCTGAATAGATCTGTTGTCTATGAGAGGTTTCACAGTTATGAGCAAAAGCTTCTCGATAATGATAATTTTTTGAAATCTGGTTCTACCACGGAATTCCTGTAAAAATAATACAATAATAATTTCGTTGATTAAATGCTTTAAGTTCTTGAATACAGTGAACAAGTAAAGCAATTTTTCTTTCCAAGGTCGATGGATACTGTTAAAACAAAAAAAAAGATGCAAAATATTCATATTTAGAAAAATTCGAACACTCGTATTGATCTGAGGAATTCAGTTTGCACGGCGTGACATTGTTATTACAAGATCTAGATTTATAGCAAATGTGCACAACAAGCCAATCATGTATGCCAAACTTCTCCATGGCTGCAGTGCTAATAAGTATGTCACAGAATGTACAATACGGGCAAATGCGTAGATTGCACCATAAACAATCGTTCTTACTACATCACCATTCACCGAATCGGAGAATACAGCCGTCGCTAACAGAAGTATCAAAAAGTATGTATCATTTTCTGCATCATTGGTGATAATACCATTGATACGTGCGTCTCTATCGACTTTTCTTTCAGGAGTTGATTCTGTCGAGCTTCGCGTCTGTTTATTCTTGCGTGTATCATCTTCGGGAAGTCGTACACTCGGTTGAAATGGTTGCGTTTGCCGCGTCACTATCAGCATGATGACCAGAATGAGACGACGGACAACTAATACAAGCATGAACCATGCAAATACGGTACCAGATTGAATGGTGGTAACATCAGTCATGATGATGAGTAGAAGTCAATGATATAACAAATGTTCTACTTGTAAAGATAAAACTTTTTTACCTTTTGCAATATGAGTTACAACCTCACTGCTTTATGATAATGTGTTTCTTGGTATAATTATGATTCCTATTACCTTTTATCCTTCCTGTAAGTCAGTAGAAAATTTTGCATCGTCAGCATCGTCACATGCCTTCAGTTGAAAGTTTTTTCTTTCTTGTACTTACCGGCGCTTGTCAATACATTGTCAGCGAGAGTCTCATTCATTTCAGGTGAAGAAAATTGTGCATCGTCATTGGGGGCTTTGTAGTGTTGCGCACACATTATTTGTTGTTTTTATGCGTACTTAAGGAATAATGACTTAAAACTTCGAGATTAGGTACACGCTTCACCCTTTACAAAAATATAAGAAATGATTGATGCCCAAAATAAGAAAAAGTCAAGCGTATAAAAATATGACAAGGCTTTTTATCGTCATGCCTGCTCACATGTAATTGTCACGTTCGATTACTTTTTTTTCTATTACAATTTATAATACAAAAAAACACGAAATCGTTCGAGACATACCCTTTAATCGCCAAGTCAAAACTGATTTATTTTCTTATTTTCTGTCACTTTTCAAGTTCACTGTAGAAGTTCGATTTAAAGATTTGATATGAACTTCCAACTTTTTTGCCTGTTCAGAAAACAAGTATGAAGTCAATCAAACGCTTCACTGAAACATCCAAGAATATGTCCGAGTTTTCGAGAAGAACAACATAACGAATGAAATCGTTTATTTGACACAAGACAATAGGAGTGTGAAAAAATGATAGAGAAACAATATTTTGTAGTGAAACAGTTCAGACGAATTCCAGGTGTGCTGATTTATAAAATAGAAAAAGAGAAACTTTGACATACTTTGTCAACACATTGATGTAACACGAGCAAAAAATGATCTCACTCAAAACCACCCAGAGCAACAAGAGATATAAAATAAGACCAACCAGGCTGTTGATTTGTTCGCAACTGAGAGTGTAGCTATGCCTTTGGATATGCGTGTGGGGTGTGGATGTCAGTAAAGATAAAATTGTAGGATTTAAAAGAAAACATCATTTTCATTGCTGAAACATGCTGTTGCATATCATTTTGAGAAAAGCGATTTAACTTTCTTTAAAAATGTAAGAAAAAAATAACTATTCATTTTATCAAGTCGTTCATCATCAACAATGCTTATTTCGACGTATTGTTTAGTGTAGCGTGTTCGAATTAATTTGTACATCAATTCAGTAGGTTGGTTAGGATGAGGAAGGCTGGTCGATAAATTTTCAGTTTTGAATTCCTACAATGAATTAATAAGATTTGTATATCTCGCAAATAAGATCTGTGTACGAAACTTCTGTAGGATTTATCAAGGAGAGAGTCCAACATATTCATGAGTTTTGATAGTCTCTATGTTAATATACTATTTTATTGAAACTGGGTTCCCGATTGTTTTTGGTACTAAAGGGGGAGCTAAAAAAATTTGGCAGAAAATCGACTTTTTTGCAAAAAAGTATGAACCTACATAGTCCGAAGTTCTTTGTTAGTAACAAAGACTAGTAATCATAACGTATTCGATATAAAAGTTTTTCAATATAAAATTATTTCGAAGCGAAAAAGCACAAATGTTGTAATAATTAGTCTTTATCACTATTTCACTGACTTTCTTCGAGAAATTTCACAGAAAACATCATTGGTTTAATTTTATTCCAGTAAATGCAAGAGTTTTCTGCTGAACTGAACTTTGAAAATCTCGCAGAAAGTCTGAAATTGGGGAAGGGAGGCGTCTCTGTCTCCCCACTACTCGGGAACCCTGCACTGAAATATGTATGAATTTTGCTTAAGTACTGGGTCAAAAAATAAAAAAGACAATATATTCTATTTTCGACGATAAAAAAGATCACAGATGGGACTTGTCAACTTCTCAATGTTAACCAGCCATGCGACATGTGTCTTGAGAGATATCTGCGAGTGAAAGTCAGAATTTTCATCAAAAATGTGACTGTGACATGATCTTTCTAAGTGACCACAAGACTGTATCAAGCGTAAATTTCTATTGAGTAGAGATCTCTATGATTTCTATCTCAAGAAAAAATTTCAGACTCCTATCTGTTTCCAGTAACGAGATACAAAACTCTAAATTTGTTGAAAATCGTGAATTTTGCCTGTATAACAGAAATTCATAGGATATCAAAGACTCAATCATTTCAGTCCAAAATTTTCTTGTGAGCAGAAATCATTGATCTATGCATCCATGAAAAAATTCAGCTCAATCAGTCAAACGATTCTTAATATAATGAGTCTTCAAACTTCCCTTTTCCGAGACTATGCATATATCGGGCTTTCGGTAGAAAAATCATTAAAACCCGAGGGTTCAATACATTTTACAACAGTTTGCACTAAAATTTATATAAATCTTATCTCTAGAACATATCTTAAATTGAGCAAGACCTGAGGACCTCGATTGAGTAGAGTTGGTCGTGGCCTATGCATGGACTGGCTGTAAACACCTACGAGTTGTTTCATTAGTTTTGAGATGCGATAAAATTAGTTTATAGACAGACAGACAATAACCTATAACCGAATTTTTTATATATGCGCCTTGAGTATTCGTGTCAATCTTTCAAGTAACATACTATTTTCACTTGTAATAATAAAAATATAAATATGAGAATGTGTGAATAAATTTTATGCCATCGATCAACAAGATATTTTATTAAAAACAATAGAAATAACTCTATTCTATAAACACAAATACTAATTTGATTACACAAAAATTTCATTTAACTATGACGTATTTGTCGTTCATCACGTTTTATTAAGTAATCAAGTCTCTTAGAAATTTTATCAATCTTTTTTTTTTTGGCAACCATTACAAGTTATTTTTTTTTCATTCGTTATTCAATCTAGTCTTTGGTTGTTTAAAGCTTGAAAATTATTCTTTTCGTACTTTTTTATTTAATATGCCTCATACACTTCCACGGAACCACAAGTCAGCAGATCTAGCATCGTCTTCTTGAAGTAAAGCGCAATTATTAAATAATTTATCAATAGTTCAAAGTACAATTTGTATTTTTTATATTTCCTTTTGCACATGGCGTTTTCATATATTTCATCCACTTTAATTTGACTTGGCTTATTCAGCTCTGCGTGATGAGCGCCGAATAAACGAATAAGATAAATAATTATTGGTTCCTATTACACTATTTTTCATGTAGAATTGTTCAGCATTTTATTAAGCAGTTTTTAACAAAAAAAAATACGTTAATCAATTATAGAAAATTATTTTCGAATTCTCATGCTTAGATTTTTATTAATACTAGACAAGATATTATTCACTAATATGCCATTTCAAAGATTGACACATATACTAAAGATTCATGAAAAAACATTCGGGTCAGATGGTATATCCTGTCTTCATATAAACTAGTTTTTTCTACCCTAAGACTAATGAAAAATTCTGTATCGAGAGAGTTGAAATTTGTGCCCAAATAAATACTTAATGAACTCTCTGTATAACGAAAACTCTAGCTCATTAATATAATATGCACAGTCGATATGCAAATGAACAAAATACTGAAGAATAATAACTTTTTAATATACATAGTAACATTAGTGATATCATCAAAAATTCATTCATTTAAGATCATTTTTTAATGAGAAATAGCTGAATATGAAATGTATTCACAATAAAGGATTCAAGTCGGACGGACGCCTTCTTCATTAGATATCAGTCTCATAAGAAACCCAAAATAGTCACAAAAAATGTTTTTGAGCGACAGTGCCCTCAGAAAAATTTACATGTTCCGAGAATTTAACAAGATCTTTTTAAACGAATTTCGTAGAGATTCATCAAAAACGCTTGTTTTTATAACATATATAAAAATTAATCAAATCAGCAATCATCATTTGAGCATATCATTTTCTTGTAGGTTGTCTTTATTGTGCAATGTCTCTTAGAGTATTATAGTATATAAAGTTGCCATTTTTTTTCTTAATGAAAACACAATGAGCATAAATCTTTGTTTATAAATTATTATACGACGTAACCGGAGTTTGTTCTATTATCTCGCTCATTTCTCTTGGTATTATTAATGTGATGCGAAGTACAACACTTATGTCGTATTTCATGATTGTTTCTTTTTGTTTTCTTGTTTTTCTACTCTCTTACTGTATATATCAAAATTTGTCATTTTCTCTTGTGATAATCTTGAGAACGGAAACTCAGAAAATTGTCGTTGCAACACTTCATGAAAGTTTTACAAGACCATTTTTTTTAATCTTTTCGAGGACTCTCTACTTGCTTACAAATAAGACAAATTTTTGTAGCTTTTGTTGTTTTTTTGCGTATCAAGATAATTAAAAGGAATTTAATCCCCAGTCTATTCGACAGGATGATTTTATCCTTTATAACCGTAAAGACAGTTCGTCATAAATAATAAATTATGTAGGTAATTAAATGATAAATCGATAGCCTTGTTTAGAAACATGTTGATAGGATTCTTGTAGGAATGAATTTTTTTCAAGTCTACTTTTCAATTCTTTTTATACTTCGAGGAGTTGATTGAATCAAACGTGCCTCTTTCAAGTCTCCGATTACAGCGACTGAAAAAGAGTTTATTCCTGTAAACAGTAAATATCTTATGAAGAAAAACGTTTCGTTATTAATCATAAAAAGTACTTTTTTCATTTTTTTTATGGCAGATTGATCTTTGCGATAATCAACATTCGTAACTTTGCACTGTGTTTCGTAGTCGAGTACTATCTAGCTTTTGAATAATATCAATATATATCAGTATGTTTCTGGTAGAATTCGCATTTTCTCAATAGACATTCAGATCAAACGTATAATTCTTTTTGTTTTCAGTCAAAATTGGAATTTGAACTTTACTCGAACAGAATTAGAATTTGACTGTATTGCAATCTTGACCGTAATATATATTATATGAGATGATTTCACATATGTTTCTTTCTTTTTCTCTCATAGAACCAATGACACTCCAGAATAACTCAATTTCACCCGAGTTTAAATCATGGTTTATTCCTCTTGATATTTTAAACATGATATGTTGTATCATTGCTGTTATACTTGCTCTAATCTTTTTATTGGCTATTATTTTTGATAAAGCATGTTATAGAGTTCCAATGTTACTCGTTGCCAATTCATGTTTAGCTGAACTTATATTTAGTAGTGATATGTTGGCTACGGTTCTATTTAGACTTCACAATGATCTTAAACAAATTTACTTCTATGACTCATTTTGCATTTTAATGACCTTTATAGCTTATATGACAGTTGGAATACAAAATTATTCTTATTTATTACAAGCTATCTATAGATATATTTTAATTGTTTATTCACCTCGATTATTTTATCGATCAGTTAGATTTCAAACATTTCTCATTAGCCTAACATGGATTTGTTGTATTATCTATCCTATTCCATTAGTGTTTACTGGTCAAATAAAGTATCTCGCTCATGAACAACTATGTCAAATGCCTCTTGAACTTTCGTTTTTAACGATATTCAATGCATTTTATATTTATCTATTTCCAATGCTAAGCATAATATTAATATATTTAAAAATGGTTCGATTTGTACGAAAAATGCGTCAGCGTGTAACTCCGGTTAATAGATTACTTCATGCTCAACGAGAATTACGAATGATTCGACGTATAGTTTTACTTGTATCCATTTTAGTTGCATTTGGTTTTCCTTATCAAACCTTTATTTTTATGTCATTTTTCAATAGTGCACCAAAATATCATTTTCGTATGGCTTTTACATTTATCGATGTATCATTAGTATTTATATTGATTGCTCTTTTTGAAATTACAGAACCATTAAAAACTTCTTTAATGAAAAGAATAAATTTTCGACCAACCAATGTTATACGTACAGTGTCATAAATAATGAAAATCAATCATAAAATTATAAAAAAATTTGTTTTCAAGTTGTGTTTTTGTTGTTTGAACTGAAATAAAAGGCGAAAACATAAAGTTATGTTTCAATTTTTTGAACTTTGATTTTTTTTTCTATTTTTGAAATGTTAAATCAGATTTAAAGATTGATAGATCAAGTTATGAATAGATTTTTATATATTTAATTAATATTATCATATTAAGAACAAAGCAATTAAACTTATGATACATCTTTTTCTATTTCTGTCTCTAGAGAAGATTAATAAAATGAATATTTAATTAGTTAATTTAAATTCATTTAGAACTTCTCAAAGAATTACTCAATTTTAATAGAGACGGATGAACATCTAAAATGATAGATTTTATTCAAATTGACGATTCGATACAAGGCACAGCAAACAGGTTTCTATACTAGATATCATATTAAAAACCACTGAAAATTACTCTAAATCATAGAAAATCTCTAGTAATACGATTAAAAGTGAAGCATTGATTTCTGTTGTTCTCTAATGATTTTTATGATTTTCAAGAATTGCCAATACTCTTGGTCGTTGCTCTTAATTTCTAATGATTTCTCATGATTTTCTTCCATTTCTAAGTATTTCCGATGATTTCTATTGATTTGTGCCTAACAGATAAAAATTGATTTCCAATAATGAAAATCACCAGAAACCAGAGAAATCAAAGGAATCAAGAAATTAGTTTGTTTCCTCTTGATTCAATATGTTCAATGTTAAGGGAACATCATCTACTCATCATTTAATGTCAATGAAAGATAAGTCTTGATGATTAATAAAACATTTTAAAAAATATGACATAATTAACATTAAACTAAAAATAGATCTGTAGTAGAGGATACAAAAGAAATTACATGTTATGCTGAATTCTTCAGAAGCATCCGACAAAATGTTTTCTATGAAACAAGAAAGTGTGAAAACCATTGTACGTGTATGCATACATCGTTCTCATTCTTTTCATCGTATACCCTTGCAATTTATTAAGAGAGCGAAATAAAAGTGGTGTAATGAATTAATTATCTTAGAAGTACCTCTTTCGTTGAAAAAAAAATTCTTTTTTTGACTTAAGATTATTAGAATAAAGTTTACGTGTAATAACCATGGTGCATTCTCAGTATAGATGGCAACACTCTAGAGCAAGAACTAAGTTCAAAATATTTGTTTACTAGAATGATTGTGATTGTACACTTGAAAAAGTTCCCTACTATACGTATATGATGTTCTAAAAATTTCCACTACAAACGTAAACAAATTGTTTAAAAGTGGGTTCCATACAATACGTTTCATTAGTATTAAAAAGGCAGTGTTTACCTACAAGTGTTTTTCTATTTGTTTATCTATTATAATTATTGTATGATATTTACACCATTCTATTGCACGTTTCTTAGCTTCTTGTTTGCCGAAAATTCTAAAGAGTTCAAGAAAGATATTAGTCATTCTATACGTAAGCCACGATGAGACCAGCTCAATTGGGACCGCAAGATTTTTTTTCAATTCAAGATATGTGATAGAGGAAACAGTTTTATAAATTGCGACGGAAGCCATTTTTACAAAGTAATCACACAATTTCTTTTTGTGAACGGTTCAAGAAAAGTTCTAAAAATGAGCATTTTGGTCCAGGCGGGCATTAAAGGGGCTATATCTCAAGAACGGGTATGTCTGTAATTGAAGAGAAGATACTCAGACCTACACTTACACACCTTCACACCTACAATTAATGCTAAATAAATTTCGTCAATAATTATTTGAAGCAATTGCAATGATGAATATGGTAAACATATTATTTTCGAAAGAATTTTCGATTTCTTTCTATTGATATTTATGTGAGTCTCTCATGAATATTTTCATTTCTTTATCTTTCGTACTCTCTTCAATGTTTACAGATAATGCCACGAATTGGAGATGCGAAGATTTTTCTTTTGCTGTTAAGCAGTTATTAACGAAAAAGAAATTTTTTTAAATATTTTTGAGTAGAAAAATATTAGCTGAATCGAATAATTTAAAAACCATTCAACTATCTTAAAAATTAACTTAATAATTAGCAGTAATTTGCAAGCAATTGAAATAGTTCTTATTATGAGCACTGTTCCTAATACGAACAGACCATGTAAAATACATAGAAAATGAAATCTTTTTAGTAAATGAACTTTTTCCTTATTTCAACTTGAAAATTTCTTTGTGCTTCTGTCTCAAAAAAAAGTTCCTTGATGGATATTCCATTAAATTTCAGCGGTGTAAAAATTGTAATAACTCAATCGTAACTTCGTATCGATAAAAAATATGAGCATTTGTGCTGTACCTGAACAATCGTATGCTTAACACAATAGTGATAAAAGACAGATAATAGTTGCAACTAAGAATCAAACAAAACTGAACTCGATTAAGTGAAAGATTTTAAAACTAAACAAATTCCATTGATACTTCCTTCATCTTGATTTATTTATTTAATTAAATATATATGTATGTCATAGACAAAATTGAATTTTAGACGAAAATACAATTAGATAAATTTCGTTTTTCTCAAACGCAAAACTACGAAATAATTTTCTTTAATTTAAAAATAAATTCTCATTTTCACTAAGAGAACATTGCACATATTTGTTACTTTTAAATGAATGAATGTGAAGAGAAAGTGTAATCATAGTATTATTTTGACATTAGTAAAATATTGTGTATTTCTATAAAGAGAAGCATCATAGCTTATATTGTTGAGCATTGGTTGAAATTACATACTTAGTTACCGTAATATAACAAACTCACCAAAATCACTGCAATCACGCCACCCAAATATAGTCCAGCCATATGCACCCACAAGCTTGCTCTGCCATCTTGACTCGAATTTACGATGGCCGGTCCGAGAATTCTAGTCGGATTCATCAATGATCAAAGGATATCGCCAATGATTGCATTAAGTACATCGACCGAATCAATCTCCAGCGTTGATAAAGGCCCGACAACGCTGCTTTATATTGCAGTTTGTAGAACAACAAATGGATGACGTTTGTTCCATAGATTGTATCTTGCTTGTACAAGGCGCGCAGGACACTATTGGCTGCTGTTAGTTGAATAACATTGTAAAGGAGTAGCCAAACTATGAGAAATGTTTTTCGAAGAGTAAAGATCATTGTTACCACTGGATTGAAGTGCGCACCAGAAATACTACTCAGTGAATAAATGAGAGCCACGACTACGAGACCTTGTCCAAGAGCATTTTCAAGAGAAGTGAGACGATGAAGTTTCAATTCGACCCGCATAGCATAGAACAAGAATGAACATACCGATGAACTCACTAAGAAGACGTTGAAATAATTTGTGAAGTGAAGCTTTCTATTCTTTCTTGTATGCTTTTGACTCTTCTTCGAATCAAAGTCTAAGAGTTATGTCATGATTAGGAAAAGTTTGTTGTTCTTGATGACTGTCAATTATTGATCGTAGAACGAGTAACATTTCTTGACGTTCAACTTCCCGTCGATGTTTTGCTTCTTTTTTAAATTATTGATGTTTTTCATACTGCTCAATAAGCGGCGCTGTAATGATATGGTGACACATTTTGTCTACGAATTGGGAAAAGATAAATTATTCAGTTCATAAACAGTTGTTTTCCTTACTTTATAGTGATGCCAATTCGTTCTTTGGTTCCATTTTATTTATTCCGTATTTGAATGATAGTGGATTCTTGTTTGAACGCTTTTGTTCTTATCTAAATCACTTTCTGTTTTCGTTGGTTCTTCACAATTCAACTTGGTAAATATATCAATACAAAAGAGGAATAAGAAAAACGAAATCATTTGATTGACATCTTCAGATGTGACATTTCTAAGCATATTATTGCAATCACTCTAAATATATGCGAAAAAAGAAAGTCATTTAGTGGAAAGATGTACAATATTCTTTCGACGATACTATTAATATTTACCTTCATTATGTATTACAAAAGTATCATTTTTCGAAGATATTTTGCATCTGATATGATTACTTTCCTTTTTTCGTTTACATCATAAATCGTAGTTGAAAAGTATGAAACGGAAGAGGAAGGTAGTGATATGTGACTGACAGCTTCACATCATATCATCAAACGTGACTTTAATGGTGAGGGTGAATCAGTATAAAACAAATAATAGCAGAAGAAAAAATGGGAAGTGAATAAGCAGTAAGACATATAAAAGTCGGTATCACTGTGTAAAACTGCTATAAGAAATCAAGTCAACTGATTTTTATTGAAGTAATACAATTTAATGAATTTTGCCTTATTCGCTATACTGATAGTAACACTCGTCATATGGTCAACAGATAGGCTATCATTCTCCTATCCATCTCATCAGTTAACACAAGAAGTATTCGTTCAAAAGTTACGTCTATCGCAGCTGAATAAGCTGACGCGTAGATCAACCACCACCGAATCCGCACGACTCCTTGATCCAAAAGTGGAATATTCACAGTAGGCAAATTTTACTGTTCGATTTGGCTTACAAAAATGTGCAAAATGCCAAACGTTCAGCATTGTGGATGTAGGTAAATGTATTGACTTGAATTACTGACATCTGACGTTCATGTTTGCTGACACTTGTCATACCATCATGTTATAGGAGTAGATGCAGAGAAAGATGCACAAGAAGTGAAATTTTCACAGTAATCTCAATGGCGTTATTTTTTCTCTCAATAATGATTTACAATTAACTTGAGCATCTGTTAAACGGTAAAAATGGAACTTATTTTATGGCTACATTTTAAGTCCATCGGGCCTAATCACTGGTCTAGAGCTCGCTCTTGCCAGATACACGGTCAATTTGTTCGAAACAAATAACCGTTCAAGTGAACAATTCTGGACCTATAGCGATGAAACAACTGGCTTATATATGCTAGAAATGGATGCTATATGGTTGCCATTAGACGTACATAGTGTGTGAAACACTTACATTCGTGAAAAATTCCAGCTAGAACTCGAATTTCATATCAACTACGATCCTGATA